CTCGCGGCCGCCGCGGCACGCGCCTCACCCTCCAACTTCTTCTCTTTGGTCCTCATCCATCGGTTAACTTCTCCTTAATAGCATTACGTTTGTTCCCCATGCCATAAGATGGGGTGCTTGATACTACTGCGACCAGCTCGGCTCTCCCTCTACAGCCTGCCTCCTAAACCTCACAATCGCACCCACACTATCACACTCAGACTCATTCGTACTCAGACTCGAGCCGACGCTTACGCAGACCCACCCTTACTCAGACTCACTCCTTCAAACTCACTCATACTCACGCTCACTCCTGCCTTGTCGCAGGCTTAATCACATCACTCCCTCACCCACACTCACGCATGCACTACATCACTGACGCACACAGACCGTGAGGATGCCTGAAACGAGGCGCTGGTTTCAACACCCCAAGGAGGAGCCGACACGGGTATTGCACGGTCCCGTTCGCGCCCGGAAATGGGGATGACTCAGGCGGTTTGCCCGTTTGCATGTTCAACAGTTTCAGCTTTCGAAACAGATTGCGACGATGTTTCAGGCGGTGCGATGGCATCATCGTTCCAGAGGGGGTCGCCAAGGTTCAATCCACGGGCCCGTTCGCGCCCATATCGTGGGGATGCTTCAAGCGCTTTACTTGTTTGGGTGCCCGAAAATAGTGGCTTTCAAAACGGTACGTGGGGATGTCTCAGGCGGTGTGCCTGGTTCTGCCCCTTAAAATTTCAATTCCTTTCGCGGTCCAATGATCACCCCGATATAGCTGGCGTGGCACTCCGGCACCCCAGCGGGGAACCGCCATGTGGACACTCCAAGGTCCGTGTCCAGATTAGGGTGATGTCTTAAGCGGTCTGCGTGTTTAAGGCGTATTCACGGGCCCGTTCGCACCCATGTTATGGAAATGTGTCAAGCGGTTTGCTTGTTTGGGTGCCCAACACGTTTGATTTTGCACTCAGGCTGTGCACCTGCTTCTGCACCCATCCGAATGCTATGTGGTCCAATGCTCGCAGCGATATAGCAGGCGTGGCACTTCGGCACCCCAAGGGGGAACCGCCAGGGATGGGGGCACTTCAGTGTTCCCGCCCAGCTTGGGGGGATGTGCGAGCGGTTTCCTGCTTCTGTCGCCCATATTCGTTTGAGGTCCAGTGTTCCCTGCGAAATGGCCGGCGTCGCACTTCGGCACCCCACGGGGGAGCCGCCAAGGGTGTGGGCACCCCAAGAATCGCGCTCAAACGGGGAGGATGTGTAAAACGGTTTGCATATTTCTTGTCCTCCAAAGCTTTTTTTTCGTGTTGTGATATACGACGCCACAGTAACATAGCACGCGCGGCAGTTGGAAACCCCAAGTCTGGGCCGCCAGGGGTGGGGGCACTTGAAGAGTCTCGCTCAATTTGTGGGGATGTCCCAAGCGGTTGGGCGGTTCTTGCCAACTCCAGACTGGGACAAATGTGCTCCTCACTCACGAATTCACTCAGTAATTTCTTCCCCTCTTCCCCACTCGGGCGCGTTCATTCGAACTCGGTCCTACGCATTCACACCTCCTCAACAACCAGACTCACTCATCACGTGTTGGCTTGCTCATACACAGATTCGACCAGACTCGAAATCACGCGCACCTACCTGGTCAGATTCGGACTCGCTCAAACGCGAACTCTTTTGCACCCTGACCAACTCACACCCTGATACACTCGCGGCCAGCATCGCTGATCCTCATAGTCACTCATGCCCGGACTGCCTCGCACCCGCGCTCGCTCGTACTCCGATCTTGCATATCGCGTAATCGAACTCAGCTGCAAGCGCATTTTGACTCATGCGCACTCAGACCCATTCGCACGAACACTCGCCCGTACTCTGGCTAACCCATACGCAGACCCACTCGCATTCACAGTGACAATGTGCAAATTTACATTCGTTCTGGCGTGAACGTACCCGGATCCAATCACACTCTGGCTCGCTCACACACAGAACTCCCACGAAGCCAGGATCCATTCGCACTCGGGATCCAATACATATAGATATCGCGATGAAGCCTGCAGGGCACTTCGGCACCCCACATGCTGAAAGGCTCCGCGAATAACACGCCAGAGAGCGGGCGTAACAACGCCACGCGCGTTTGCCCGCCGTGCCGCATGAAGAACGGCATGAGGACACCCCTCTTCCATTTTGTTTAGTTACCTCGTGCCTCCTTGCCATCTGTCAGGAGGAGGTAGACGCAAACGTCACCGAAAATGTCGGTTTCGTCGTCGTCGTCATTACCGCGCCTCTCCTCAACGCAAAGTCGCTTTACCACCCTGATGTTCCGAGACAGAAATCCCCAGCGAAACGCCAGACGGCATGTGGCTTTTGTATGATGGCACGAGCGCCTGCTAGTCCTCACCGGCAAGTGCCCAAATCGGTCGCCCATCCGCGGGCATGCATGCTGGACCCTTTTGACAACTGTTTCCGTTTGCATAATGTCCGCCACCTTCCCTGCTCGGCCCCTCCCTCCCAGCATCCCCACGTCCCCGGCCCAGCCCTCCTTGCGGCAGCGGCGAAACGGGGCCCAGAACCGAGCGCGAACGACCAAAACTCCACTTCGTTTTGCCGAAGGAACAAAGAGACAAGAGAACGAGAGAAAACGCGATCGTTTCACATTCGTTGTTTGTTGTTTGCTTTCTCGCTCTCTCGTATTCCCCCTGTCTTTTTCTCTCTCGCTCTCCCTTCGTTGCTCCATCTGAAAAAAAAAGGAGATACGGGGAGAAAACAACATGACTAAAACAAAAAGGCATATATAACAATACATGCGCACACACACATATATATATACATACATATATATATATGTCGATATATATATATATATATATGAGCAACATCATTTAAAACCTATATACACACACTGAATTTCGGCCCGACCAACTACATCATTCCAACGGCAGGACCACGACATGGGAATTGCCCAACGAAATCTGAAAGTGAGCCTCCTCGTCGTTTTTGTGGGTGCAGATGCCTTTGCCGTCTCCTGATCTCACTTGTTTCCCGATCGTTTTGGCAAACACCCTTTTTCCCTCACCTTGCTTTGCCTCCTCATCGTCCTCCCGCCGCTGCTTTCCCATCCACCTCCTCCCCCCTTTAAGGGCGCGCAAATCGATATTCCGTGCCGCCGTCGCCGCCGCGGCCAGAGCGGGCGCGTATTCCGATGGCCAAATCGCGGAACCGCTATGGGACAACCCCGTGGGCCAGGCCGCTAGGACAACCCCGCGAGCCGCTGGGGCTCAGGAGCAAAAAAAGCCAAACAAATCTGGGGCCATTCGCGGCCACGCCCAAACGGGAGGCAGCGTGAAAACCAGCTCTGCCGCGAGCTGCTCCGCCTCAGCCGTTGAGGTGACACTGCGTTCCCCGGCACAGGCCGCTCCCGGGCGGGAGGGGGGGGAGGGCGAGGGGTAACGGTAACGACGGCCGCGGCGTGCGCCCGCCAGGGCGCGCCCGCGCCACCGGCGCATCATTCGCTTGTGTACGCGACAATGCCCAATACCCGCGTGCAACACAGCTCCACCTGCGTACACATCACAGTGCTCTTCTACACCACAACCACCGCGTGCACTGCAACACCACGTCGCCCATGCACACCGCAGTGCTTGCGTATGCTACAGCAACCGTTGCTTGCGATGGGACTTTACGGACGCCCGATATCTTATAACAAGACTATTAAAGGAAACCCAATGGAAAATGGAGCGCCTCTGGATTCTAAGAAACTCTTATCTTTCCGGGATATGAAAAAGAAACCCTCTGGAAAGCGGGGCGCCTTTGGATTCCACGGAAATGCTGTTGCTTGAGATTGATATCATTCTGAAAATTGGGGCGCCATTGGACACCGCAGACAACGAACCTTTTACATGCGCGTTTTGACACAATCCCTACGGAAACTGGAGCGCCCGAGGATTGCACGCGCGCGCTACAACGCCTGCGTGCACCACAGCGCCTGCGCGCGCCACGGCAGCCGCGCGCAACGCAGCGCCGGCGCACGCCGCAGCCTGCCAATCCGAGCCCCCCCCCCCCCCCCCCCAAGGAATCGCAGCGATTTCAGAATGGGAGAATTTCCAACGCGCTGCTTTCCTCGTGCTGGGCCGCGGGGAAGCATCATGGAACGCCCGCGCGCCACCGAATGGCCGCGCGCCGCCTGCCCCCACCACTGAATCGCGCCATGCGCGCCGCGGAAGCGCGAAGAACGCGGCCCCCGAGCCAGGCCCCCACGCGGCCGATATGGAACTCATCGCCGCGATGACGCTTCGTTCCGCGATCGTCGGGCCTGGCGCCCGCGCGAATCTCGACGCGCGCAGCCGTCGAAGCGCAGACGGAATCGGCGCGCGCGCAACCGTCGAAACGCCAGGTGCTGCCCCGGCCGGGCGGCCGCTGGCTTGCTCGGGAGAAATACCTCAAAGCTGACCCACGATGGAATGCGCCAGCGCGGGACCGACGGACCACGAGAAAAGGGCCACTTCGGAGACCGCGCTTCAAGAAGAAACGCTCGAGCGCGAGCGCCGCGAAGGGAATTGGCGGGGCGCCGGAGGCGGTGGGGTCTCACGCCCGCGCAAGTCGAGGAAACTCCGTTTCTGGGGAGTGGCGCTCGCGGGGCCGACCGCGGGCGTGGGGGCCGCTGGCGCAGACTCTGCCGCGGCCGCAGCGAGGCCCCGGCGCTCTCCCTTGGAGGCCGCGGCGCGCGGCTGCGCCGGCGGCGGAGAAGGGGCCCGACGGCAAACGCCGGCCCCGAAGCCTCAGCGGCCGCGGGCGCGGCGGCGCATTCGCAAACCCGCTGCGCGAAGCAGCGCAGCCCGCCGCAAGGGCATCCTCTTCAACCGAGCGGGGGTCCCTGGGGAGCCCCTGGCCCCGCCCCCGACCCCCCCGCCGCCTTTCCGCGGCGCCCCCCCCCCTTCGGCTTCAATGTTTAAACATTTTTCGGGCCCCGGTTTTGCCGTCATTTGTGGCCCCCCCTCCGCGGGGGCGCACATTTTTGACCGCGATTTTTCTAG